AATTTTTCCTCAACACTCTATTCCATAATGGCTATATTAATTTGCCTTTCTATCAGCAGTGTGAAAAAAGTTTTCTTTTCTCCATATCTTCTCTGGCACTTATCTCTCATCTATTTGGTAATAGCCTGGTGTAAAATTTTTAAGACACTAGCATAGATATCTTTTCTTTTCCTCTTTTTTTTCAATATATGTGCTGTATTAAATAAAAATTTTATGCTATTCGGGCCTATTAACAGGTGGTAATTATACATTTAAAATAGTATTAACTTCTTCTTGTATAGTAATTTCTTTTTACCATGCACAATCATTGGCATTAGTTCACCAGGTTGTCATAAAACTGTGAGGGGGGGCAGGATATGATCACTTTTTCAGTTCTTTATATCTATTTTAAAGATAAAGATACAGTCCCATTGGATCACTCACCTAAAGTCAATGTTTACCTGTTGATCCTAAGTACAGTTCTTTTTGCCCAAACCAGACAGATCTTCTAACAGTGATATTATCGACAAATGGGATATGTGTTTACCCAAGGAATGGGAAAGACTGACGAAAGGTTGCACAATTCCTGCTTTCTCTGGATCGCACCTGAGACACAGCTCACAGGGCCTCTCATTCTTTTTACTTAACTCCCTTTATCTTATTTAATCTTTCTTCAAAATAATCAGGTACCACACTGAAGCAATAAAAAGGGTAATTAAAATATGTAGCATACTAATTGCCAGTTTATGCTCATCACTGTATACATTTTTAAAGTGCTACTATCATAAATAATACTAAAATAGAGTAGTAAATATATTTTTTAATGTGACAAAATTACAATTTTTAAACATCAAATTATACTTTCCTTGTATGTGATTTTTTTTTAATCATCAGGTTTTTTTTTTTTTTTTTCCCCTTTCCTACTCTGAAAAGCCATTTTGCAGAGTCCAGTTCTTTTTACTTTTATCCACAGGAAGTCATAATCCCCTACTTAAATAGAAGTTGGTTACCATGGAAATCATCCTAATGCCACTGAATCAATATTTTGATTTTTAAAGCATTCATGTAAAAAGAAAAGGCAGGATGAAATTTATAAAAATCACTTTTTAGTCTTTGTTATAATGTTGATAGCTAGAAAAATTATAAAGAAAACATATACTCTATAATGAACTCTAGTTAACACACAATTATAAAGAACTGAGAGTTCATAAAAGAACAATCTACATATTTATATAAGTTTGGCTTTGAATATATACATATGCACACAAGCATTTGGACTCAATTTCTTTTCCCATCTCTATCATTTCTGCACTGATACTAACAACTTATGCAGTTCACTGAATGTCCTCAAAGATCCACTACAGCTGAAGGCTTTTCAGTCTTCCCTGAGAGCTCCATTTTGAGGAGAAATATTGGGCTTGGACTTAGTGTTTAAGGAGTATCACCACCATCAAGTATTTTTCCAAGTCTAACAAGTCTTTGATGCTGCAATGTAGGAATTTTCTCCTTTTCTATCTTCAGAAAAAGAAAGATTATAGAGCTGTTTCTCTTTGACAACTAGCCATTGGGAACCCTAGATCCTCAGATGGCGAAGGGATCTGAGAGAGAATTGTGAGCCTCTCCATCCCAGGAACAAACACCTGAAACATCCCAAGGAATGGTAAACCCTTCTATTTTTTAAAACCATTGAATTGTTGCTCAAGTTTTCCTTCGGTGAGACAGTACTCATGATTTTTCCCATACTTTCACTCTAAGTAGCCTGGTTCCCCCTCCCCTAAGGGGGTTATTTTGAGATGTGGGTTTTTTTGTTTTGTTTTGTTTTGTTTTGTTTTGTTTTTGAGTTGGAGTCTCACTCTGTCGCCCAGACTGGAGTGTAGTGGCTGCTCCCGGCCACCGCAGCCTCGACCTGCTGGGCTCCGGCGATCCTTCCGCCTCAGCCTTCCAAGTAGCCGGAACTACAGGCATGCGCTACCACGCCCGGCTGATTTTTTGATTTATTGTAGAGATGAGGTCTCGCTGCCCAGGCGGCTCTCGAACCCGTGGGCTCAGGCAATCCATTCACCTCAGCCTCCCAAAGGCGCGGGATTACAGGCTGAGCCACCCTTCCAGGAATGTTTCCTTCAGCACGACACTGCTTGACAGAACATTCCTCACTGGCTACTTTCCTTGTCTGTCTCATCTCTCTTTGAGTGGTTCTTTTATTATCCTTTTATTCTTGAATCATTCTAGATTGCGTTCAGACCCTCACCATTCATACTATCTTAAATGAGTATTCTTTTGCAAACAATCTAATGTAATTGATTATGAAGCTTTCTGGCAGTAGAAGTAGGAGAGGGTTGACTTCAGGACACAGGATCTTAGAAAAGAAAAATGAAAAGCACCCTGTATCACTATCAGAGGAAACCTGAGAACAACCTTTAAAACTTACAAAAGGCAGGTCTCTGGATTAGTGTATTAACAAGTAAACTAAATAGCTATATTGTTTCTAAAAGCATCAGTGTGTTACAAGTTGAAGGACACATAGATACTTCTGAATCATAAGGATAATAATCGAATGTCAAATACTCTAAGAAGGCAGAGGAATAGTAGAGAGAGTTACACACATACAGATAGGCGTGCACACACACACTCTTAAATGACCATTGTTGTACTGTATTCGTTGTAGCTAAACAAAGTAGAACCAACCTAAGTATTCAACAATGAGATAATGATTAAATAAATTACTATGATGTACACAGGGGACCCCCCCAAAAAATCAGAATTATCTTTTGGAAGGTGAGTTCCTTATAATACAGGCTTCCCCTGCTAAGTCAGTGTTCTAGGAAGCCATCAGCATCAGTGTACCAGCTAACGTTGTCGTGAAAGGCTGCATTTGGCTTCAGTGAATTTGTGTTTATGTGTGTGTGTGTGTGGAGATTCTTTCAATGTACTTGCCCATTTCATGATGGGTGATTTATGAGTGCCCCTGCCACACTGAGTGTGCAGCAGTTTTTGACCAAAAGCAGCATGACCTCATGTCCTCCACTCTTCTTATTAACCAGATCTTGCCTAGAGTGATTTTGTTGTTGTTCCCCCTGACAAAAAAAGTCCTCATAGGAAAACATTGTGCTGATGTGGAAGAGGTGAAACAGAAAACGGTAGAAGCACTAAAGGGCATCAAAATTGATGAGTTCAAAAACTGTTTTGAGCAGTCAAAAAAGTGTCTCAATAGGTGTATTGCATTAAAGGGAGAGTACTTTGAAGGTGACTGAAATTTAAATATGTAAGAATAAATACACAATTTTTATAAATGAGTTCTGATTTTGGGGGGTTCCCTCAGTACACTTCTCTATAGAAATGTGATATTTTGTGGCAAATTGAACGCCATAAATAATAGCCACAACAGAATAAGTGAGAATGCAAAACAGAAGACTCTATGCACTATAATCACTATGATTTCAATTTTGTATTATACTCAATTGTACTAAAGGTTTTTTGTTTTGTTTTGCTTTGTTTTCTTTGTTTTTGCTAAAGGCACCTAGGCTTCAATAAGGGAGAAAGGAAAGATAAGAGTGATGGAAGAGATGGCACATACTTCAGGGGCACCTCATCTTATCAGTTACATGTGAGCTTCTGTAGAATGATCAGGTCAGAAGTCCAGGGAGCATCTATAAGGGACTGGGGAACTCATGTGACAAAGACCTCTGCCTAGTTGAGGAAAGAACTATGTGACTTCCACTCTTTGATGTACATCGTTTGATTTTCGGTACCCTAGGGGCTCAGGAAAGCTTGCTATGGAGGAGGGGACAGTGGGGAAGGAGAAAGAATATGGGACTTAGTGGAATTTGCTCTCAAATTTGTCTCTGGTAGCACTGAGAAACTGGAGTTGTTTTCCACAACTAGTATGTAAAAATCTGAATGGAATTGCACAATAACTGAATGTTTGTTCAGTTAAAATTAAAATATTAAAATATTGCAACCTTAATCCCAAAGTGATGGTATTTGGAGGTGGAGTCTTTGGGAGGCAATAAGAACGTAAAGGCAGAGGCCTCGTGAATAAGATTAGAAGTTTTATGAGAAGAGGCCACAGAGGCCTTTCTGCCCTATGAGGATACAAGAATTTAGCAGTCTGCAAGAGCATTAGAAGAGCATTGAAGACCACCAGAACCTGACCATGTTGGCATCCTGATCTCAGGCTTCCAGCCTACAGAACTGTAAGAAAAAAATTGCTATTGTTTATTAGCCACCTAGTAATGATGGGACTTTGTTATAATAACCACACTGACTAAGACTGGGCTTATAAAAGTATCAAAGTATCCAAGCACATTTAAGACTACTCTCCCACCAAGCAGTTCTCAGGAAGAATTCAGGAGTGTTAAGACCCTACTTATTAAAGTATAGTCTAAAAAGCTGGTGTGATCTGGTGCTAATGTGACCTCACTCATATTCACAGACCAGCAAGGAAGACTGGGATATATTTGGTTTGTGTATTTCATAACTGAGAAAAAAAAAAATACATGCAAAGGCAGAAAATGGAGACACAATGTGGAAACTGAGACATAGTATACACACATATACACATACATGCATAAATCCATATTCACCTGCAAGAAACATACCAAAATGTTAAAAATGAGTATTTCTAAAAGATAAGTTTACAATCCTTTTCTTCTTTATATCTTCCTGCATTAAAAACTTCCCTTAATGATCAAATAATAACACTCTTAATTGTGCAATATTAATAAAAGCAAGAAAATATGTATTTTAGATCATTTCTATGCAAAATAATTTGAAGCTTTAAGGGATTAAGGAAACTCACATATTGCCTTCCCTTTCTGATGAACAAACGAAACACATTCTTCTGTATGTCATTTGACAAGACACCAATAAATAACCTTCCCCAGGATTCTTCTTTATAGGACTTCAGGGTGATACAGGGAGAATTTGTGACCCAGGGAGAGGAAGGCAGATGCTTGTTAGTATCCTGACTCCAACATGGTGTTTGAAAAAGATCTCTAGGTGAGGTGGGCATGGTGTGTTACCTTCAGTCCTTTCGGGGGGTTTCCCACTCTTACTGGCTGCTGTGCTGTTGACCGTCTCTGATGAGGTGCTCAGCTTGGTGCTAGGGTCCCGCTTGGGCTTGGGTGGTGGTTGTCTCCGGGAGCCACAGCTGCTGTCATCATCTGTGCCTCCAACTGAGTGCAGAGACTGTGATCTCACAGAAAAGCCACTGGAGCAAGGATGGGGAAGTCTGTCCTGAGGAGCAGGCATTGTCATGAATCCCATACGGAAATGTTTGCCCACGTAACTTCCTTCGTGGCCTCGCCCTACTTCTCCACCTATGCTGTAAAAGAAAGCAGACCAAAAACCATGAAGACAAAATGAGCCAGGATTTACAAGATCAGAGATACAAGCATGTTTATAGTTTGTGATATTTCAAAGTTTTAGTTTAGTTTGGTATAGAAACATATCCTTTTACAAAAGGCTGTCTTTTAAAACAAATTCAAGTAGCATGATAGCAATTTAATGCTATGTTAAATTATGAAAGTAAAGCAGATACAATTGGATTATAATCAGAAATCTCAGAAATCTTAACACTTACTTCTAGATATACCTTGTATCCCAAATTTTAAAAAAAATCTACCTCTGTCTATCTATCTATCTATCTATCTATCCGGTATAGCACAACTTATCTTCTATTGTTTTTCTTTACTTTGAGATAAATCTTATCAGGGGCTTAAAAGTAAACAAGAATTCATGACAATGACTCATAGACTTCTCTTGACATGTGACTCAATCCAGGAGGTCAGGACTTGAGATTCTTCTCTACTTCATCAAAACTTTTATCTGTTTAACATATTGGAGAAAATAAAACAAACAAACAATAAGGATAAAATTTCTGTTACCAAACAACAGAAAGAAAGATAGAGAGAAGAAAAAAAGACAGAGGAAAGGAGAGAAGAAGAAAGGGGAGGGAAGTAAAGGAAAGGAAAAGGGGGAGGACGAAAGCAAAGGAAAATATTTGCTTAAATTCGTGATAGAATTGTCAACTTCTCCAGTCCTCCAGAGACCTTCCATTATATTAGAAACAGTTCTATTAACAGGTTAGACCCACAGAATACAATGGCAACATTCAGTAAAGAGGTGTAGCTTAAATACAATCTGACCCTGAGATGGTTCTAAATTCTTCACATGTATTCAGGCTGTGCAAAGTTTCCAAATGTAAGGTGCTTAAGGTTTATATAGGAAAATTTGAACAAAAATATTAAGATATAAGAAATTTGTCTTATTTTGAAGGTCAACTAATCTTATAGGAAATGACTCTTGGATCTTTATGCTATTAAGTAATAGTGACTCATATGAAGAAAAGGAGCATATATGCGAATGTGAACTTTAAAAGAAATATTTTTCTAGAATTTTTTTCCATCTATGAAGTTCATTCACCAATAAACAGAAAAAATTGCAAAAATATTTGACTGATAGTCTTAGACATGTTTGATTAAAAGCATCTTTGAGTTTATGAATTTTGAAAACTTCTTGAGTCCATTTTTTCAGACATATAAGATTATTTACTTTTAAAAAACTTATATAAGCTTTAAAAACAAGAACTTTAGCTGGGCTCGGTGGCTCAGCCTGTAATCCCAGCGCTTTGGGAAGCTGAGGTGAATGGATTGTCTGAGCTCGCGGGTTCGAGACCCACCTGGGCAACTTGGCGAGACCTCATCTCTACAATAAATCAAAAAAATTAGCCGTGTGTGGTAGCGCGCACCTGTAGTTCCAGCTACTTGGAAGGCTGAGGTGGAAGGATCGCCAGAGCCCAGCAGGTCAAGGCTGCGGTGGCTGGGAGCGGCCACTGCACTCCAGTCTGGGAGACAGAGTGACACTCCAACTCAATAAATAAATAAATAAATAACTTTAATTTTAGCTGACTGCTTTCATAACATGATGGAATCCAAGGTTATATTTTTTGACTCTCCCTATTGTATCTTTCATATCATTTTGATGTTTTTCATAGCTTTAACATTCCAGTAGGGTCAATGATGTGTAAATTCTTTTTCCTCGTCAACTGTGGACTTATGACAATTACGTGTCTATTGTGAATAAAACCAGAGAGAATTCAACAAGAACATTAGACCCTGATTCTGTCATAAGTTCAATGCTAACTTGCCACTCAATTAAAAATATTTTTACATGAATTTTAGTTTTTCTGAATATTTTCATTTGACATTCAGATACTGAGTACTGTGCACCATGTCTGTGATAAAGATGGAAGGAATTTAGGTGCACTAATGAGAGCAGTGGCTATCCAGGAGGATTAATGGAATCAAGTGACGGTTAAGTAGAAGTTTTCACATCATAGCTGTAAGCAGCCTAGAGCCTGCACGGGGTTTCCATGTGTTTTATTTTCTGTGCTTTGATTTATTCATTCTAGTTTATCCTGATTGATGCTCTCTAAAAAATAAAAAATAAAATGTCAAAAAAGGTTTATATTCAATTTGTGATTATCTTAGCCTTGATATTTATCATAGAAGATGAGATATTTGATTTCATCTCACTTTGCCTTAAATTACTTTTCATCCCCATATATTTTGCTTATTTCTGTTGTATCACTGCACAAAAGGTGCTTTATAGATTACATCTAGACAGTCATCTCATTCTTGGTAACACAGCTACCAGGGGAGATTAGTACATGGGTTAATACACACGGGCATTTATAAGGTTTCCTAAAAATAATTGTATTAGCAATTTTTCTGTTACTTTTCACCTAAATAGGACCTGTACCTTTTCCCAGACAGATAATTAGTTCTGTTGTTTCATTTTAGAATTATCTTAGTCTCAGAACAAAACAATTTCACCTATTTGCTTTTGTTCATATGTGTACTTTTGCATACATACACTAACACTTCTGCTAAGAGAAATTTAATGTGTTCCTCAAAAAATAGCAGTTGCAGGTACAATAGCAGGTAAGTTTAGTTTGACTAGACTGTGATTGCAGGATGGGAAAATGGGCCAAGAATGATTTGGATACAAAGGTCATTGTTCAAGTCAAGGCTAAGGATAAGCAGTAAAGGGTGGCATGTTTGGGTACAAGAGAGTAAGAAAGATGATGAGTCCAAAGCAAATTGAAGATTATGGAATGTAGCATACAACAAGTTTCTGAATGTGCTATGGAAAATTGTGGAGATTTTAAAATACATAGATTATCTTACTAAAGGCAAAGGCTTAAATATTGAATTATAACCTGTTGAATTAGAACCTCTGTAGGTGTAGCCAATGAGCTTGTGTTTTAAAATTGCATAAACAGGCTTCTGATGTAGCCAACCCAGAACCTCCCAGAAATATTAAGAACAACAGTTAGAGCCATTAATGAATGCTAGTTAGAAGCGGTCAGGAAGATGCAAATACCAGGCAAGATAACACAAATTCGAAAATGTACAATGTATTAGGCAGATCTTGTTAGGTTATCCTGCAATAATAAACAATCTCCAATCCCTAATGTTTTATAATGACATAGGTTTATTTCTTGCTTTTATTAATTGGGTTGGCTGTGCATCATCTATGGCTCTGCTCCATATATCCTCCTTATTCCAGGATTTAGCCCCTGCTCGGATGTGTTGTTCTCCTGACAGGAAGAGGAAAGCACTGACTGAATCACACAATGTCTCTTCTGACTTCTGCTCAGATGTGGTATACAATCTTTCATTAACTTTCTACTAGCTAAAATAAGTCTTATGACTAAACTTGAGGTCAATGGGGTAGAATTATATTCTCCTCCCAAAGGAAAATACTGCAGCTTATATAAAAATATGGGGAGATACATATTCCTCCCTATAGATAGGGGAAAAAATACCGAATGGTGGTATGTGACTGAGATATCTTCTCTCTCTTTTTTTTTTTTTAATTTTTAATTTTAAAGATTGGGGTACAATTCAGGATTAGGTATACAAATGTTCATTATGCAGGTACTCTTATTAATTAGATATGTCTCCCACATTCCTGTCAGTTTCACACTATCTCCAATCCCACCCTCCTCTCCCCTGGCAGTTTCCCACTACTGCCAATGCCTTTCTTACAGTATTATGAGAATTGTTCATGGTCTGCTTATGAATGAGAACATGTGGTGCTCCGTTCTTTGTTTCTGTGACAGATTACTCAGTATTATAGACTCTAAGTCCACCCAAGTTGTTGCAAAGTTCATAATTCTGTCCTTCTTTATGGCTGAGTAATATTCCATCATGTATATGTACCACTTTTTTTTATCCAGTCCTTTTTCAACGGGCAGCACAGTTGATTCCATGTTTTTGCTACTGTGAATGATGCTACAATAAACATGCGTGTGCAGGTATCATTTTCACAGAGTGATTTGAGTTCCTCTGAGTATATTCCCAGTGGGGGAATTGCAGGGTCATATGGAAGGTCAATTTTTAGATCTTTTAGGAATCACCAAACTGTTTTTCACAGAGGATGTACTAGTTTACACTCCCACCAATAGTGTAGAAGTATACCTTTTTCTCTGCATCCTCTCAGCATCTGTTGTTTTTTTAGTTATTAATGATGGCCATTCTGACTGGAGTTAGGTCGTATCTCAGTGTGGTTTTAATTTGCATTTCTTTGATGACTAATGAGACTGAGCATTTTTTCATGCTTCTATTAGTTGCTCATATTTCTTCTTTTGAGAAGTGTCTATTCATATCTTTTGCCCACTTTGCAAATGGGGCTGTTTGTTTTTTTCTTTTCAGCACATTTGAGTTCCTTGTATATCCTAGATGTTAGGCCTTTGCCAGATATACAGTTGGCAAATATTTTTTTCCCAGTCTGTGTGCTGTCTCCCCATTCCTGTGATGGTTTCTTGGGCCTTGCAGAAGCTTGTCAGTTTGATGAGGTCCCATTTGTCTATCTTATCTCTTATGGCATGGACACTTGGGGTTTTGATCAGAAATTGGATCCCAGTTCTAATTTCCATAAGGGTGTCTCCTGTATTTTCTAAAGTTCTTATAGTTTGAGGTTTTATGTTTAGGTCTTTGATCCACTTACAGTTGGTTTTTGTGTATGTTGATAGGTAGGGGTCTTGTTTTAAACTCCTGCATGTGGTCAGCCAGTTTTCCCAGCACCATTTACTGAATATGTTCTCCTCTCCCCAGTGGCTGATGGTAGAGGCTTTGTTGGAGATGAGCTAGTTGAGAAATTGAGGTTTTGCTTCTGAATCTCCATCCTATTTCATTGGTCTATATGCCCGTTCTTGTACCAATACCAGGCTGTTTTGATTATTGTAGCTTTATAATAAAGTTTAAAGTCTGGGAGTGTGATACCTTCTGATGTTTGTTTGTTTGTTTTTGAGCAATC